GGGCACTAGGAAGGTGGCTGGGTGCACGCCTAGGAAGGACACCAGCGTTCATAGTTATGCCGACATTCACGTTGGGAGGGAGACAAAGGCCACATACATGATGGAAAGCAGAACCAAACACAGGCAGCACGGGCATGGAAGGAAAAGCCGATCGAACCTCGAGGCGGACATAGCAGAAGAGCCACCCTGGGCTCTCCTGGAAGCCAGTGGTTGTGCAGAGGCATGCACTGACAGCGACCCCCAATACAACAAGTTATCAGTGTACGCAGAAAAATAAGCAAAAGTAGCAAAGAGAATCAGAAGAACGAGCCTTGTCAGAAGTTATTAAAATATCCTTTTTTAACCTTTACATATTCAAATATGTACAAGCTACTGTAAAAATGTAAAATATACATGTTATTCATCAATACTTTCAATAACAAAAGTATTAATAGTTTCTAATTTTCAACTTGTCTAGATTTCTTAAAATTTCTAGATGTTACTCTTAGGTCTGAAACGGATAATAAAAATCCTCTTTAATTATCATCAGAGTACTTGCTTTCCTATGCAAATAATTTCTTCATGGATATAGCAAAGGCATGGTTTGCAATTAAACTGGGTTCTAACTTTAGACCCATGAAAAGAAGTGATAATTACTGATCAGTTCTAGATGGAAAACGGCAGTATCTCACAAAGCTTACCTTTCAAAGGTCATGTATAGGAACAGATTACAGTATATTAGCAAACAGTATTAGATAGATCTTCATGAAATACAAAGCAAATTTCCTTGTAGCCACAATGAATAAATGTATAGTAACTTACTGAATGGGGGAATGAGCCTAGGTACTGGAATTTTTACAAATTTTATTTTATATATTTTTGAGATGTGGTCTCACTATGCAGTTCTGGCTGGCCTTGTGCTCACTTTTGTAGCCCCCAGGCTAGTCTCAAACTCGCAGAGATCCTCTTGGCTCAACCTCCCAAGTGCTGGGATTACATACGCATCACCATGCCCAATTTGGGGGCCGAGATGGAGGGCCTGGGCATCCAGGGTGAGACCACACAGCATGTGGGCCCAGGGATCGAACTCAGGTCTTGTGCTTGCCAGGTAGGTGTTTATGCCTCTGAGCTATCTCTCTGGTCCTGGTATCGAAATTTTAAAAAGATACTTGGCATGACTGCTCCACTATAGGAGTTCACAGCTAAAAACAAGCGACTGACCACTTGCTCTGTTTGCACCTGTCTTAGTTACTCTTCTCTCATTGCTGGGACAAATACCCAACACTCAAAATGAAGGAAAAAAAGGTTTATTTAGTTCACAGTTACTGGAGGTTTCAGTCCAAACTCAGCTGGCTCCAAGGCAGACGGCACATAGCAGAGGGCAGCCTTTCATAGTGGCAGCAAAGAGCAAGAGTACAAGGGAGGGGTAGCAGCAGCTCAAGCAGCTAGCTTCTCTTCCCTCCTTACACTGTAATACAAATTACCTGCCCCAGAGCAGGTACAGCCACCACACCCACAGTAATCAATCACAAACTCCAGAAGCCACCCCAAGACTGCATGAGGCTTTGGGGGGACACCTAGACACAAACCATAACAGCACTGCTTACCTACACAGGGGAGGTGGACATTACTACACCCTGTGGTACAGAGGAAGCTACTGGGGCAGGCAGCAGTCACATCACCCAGGCGATCCAACAGCCACGCAGTGTGGCAGTGTGGCATGTAGGAGTGGCAGCTTGAGGCACAGGGACAAAGACTGTTCTCACAAGGAAAATATTCAAGCAGGAATGGAGTCAAACCTTAAGGGGTACAATCCAGGCTGGAGAAGACACAAGCTGGCTCGAGAAGAGACAGAGCCATGGGGAGAAATCTCCACAGAAGGGAACTGCACAAACCAACCGTGCGAGCGAAGGCTGCTTAGCGTCTTCCTAGAGGAGCATCTAAGGGGGGGCGGGGCATGGCTTTGCCACCTGTTCTCTTTCCTCCTGAGCCCCGCTGAATATGCTTTGCCCAAGACCAGCTCCCTGCTGGGCGGGAGAGAGCGGTAGGCTGGAAGATG